AAACAAAAAAAAAAAAAAAAAAAAAAAAAGAAGAAAATAATTGGTAAGTTATATTCTTAAAAAATATGATATGGTGGTTTTTAATTTCAGTTAATTTTTTGTTTTTTCTTTTAAAAAGCTTTTTTACACCAAAAGATTTAATAAATTTCAATGAGTTATATAATAGTCAAAATAACTCTTCAACAGGTTTTACGAAATAATATAAAATTAATAAATTTTATATATATGTATTATTATAAAAAAAAAAGTATCTAATTGTTAATGAACACCTATAACAATTAAATATTATATATATATATATATGCCTATCTACATTTGTCAATTTGTTTATATATATAGCTTCACGAGTATTAATATTTTTACTCATGCAATTATTTTTTTTTTTTTTTGAAAATTTCAGAAAAATATATATTAGGTGAAGATTACAATTTGACAAGTTTAAAATTAAAAGTTGATTTTGGATCACTAGATACAGGAACAAAAATAATAGAATATAGTAAAGGAATTATTAATATAAAATCTATTCAACAATTTGATTATGATAGTTATATGTTAACACCATGTAAATCAGATATATGGTGGATATATTCATTTAGTGATATTATTCATATAGAAAAAATAGGTTTAGTTTCTTTAGAACATTATGCATCTAATTTTAAAGTAATTGAAATATTAGGTAGTGATATTTATCCAACTAAAAAATGGAAAAAATTGGGAAAAATTTCAACAAATTTTACTAAAAGCTTCGAACTTTTTAACATTTTTGAATATTGTAAAAATTATGATGAAGATAACTGTTGGGTAAAATACTTAAAGATTAATGTTTTATCTCACCATAATATAGAAAATAATTATTACTGTACATTAACCCATTTTCAAATATTTGCATCATCGGGTGTTGATATGCTCAGTGATAAAATTTATTCTGATGAAAAAATAAATGAAAATGAAAAAGAAATGAAAGACAAATATGTTGGTGGAAAAAATGAAGAAGTATATAATGAAGAAAAATTACAAGGTTTGGAAAATGATTACATAAAAAAAGAGGCAAAAGAACAAGAGTTAAGAAAAAAAGAGTTAGAAGAAAAAAAGATAGAAAAAGAAGAAATCAAAAAAAAAAATCATAAAGAAAAATATTTAATGGATAATCTTTCCAAATATACTACAGAAGATGAAAAAGAAAATGAGAAAAAAAATGAAGATGATTTAATTGTAATTGAAAAACAAATAAATAAATGTTATAAAAAAAAAAATGATATGAAAAGCATTACAAATGATTCTAGAAGAATTAATAATGTGACAAATGTTAATAATAATGTTTCATTTTCAGAAGTAAACAGTGAAAATAACTTACTAATAAAGTATGAAGATAAATTATCAAAATCTTACTTGATTATGAATGAAACAATAAACAAAAAATACAAAAATCTCAAAACATTAAGTAAGCTGAGATTATCTAATATTTTTAAGAATTCTATATTTAGAATACATAAAAATATAATTAATAAGATTATCTATTATAATATACTAATAAAAAAAAGAGAAAATACTTTTAAATATAATGATTCTAATTTGATTAATATTATAAAAAACAAATATACATACGAAAATGAGGAAAATTTTTATAAAAAAAATATTCCATATGAAAAAAGAAATATATCAAAAAGGTATAAATTATTTAAAAAAAAGTTACATTCATCAATTTTTCTAATTTTAAGGAAGATTTTTACTAATCAGAATAATTATTTTTCCCCTAAAAGTAGAATGCCTGAAAAAGATGATAAATCACATATAATGAATAGTTATAGGAATTCAGTTAAAAAAAAAGTAATTCCTATAATAAAAAGTATTTTTATTAATAGGATTCTTTGCAATAATAATATTATTTGTTTATACAATAAAATAAAAGAATTTAAAGAATTCATTAAGAAAGAATACATGTTTAGACATTCTACTTTTATAAATCATATGTCTCCTTATATTAAAAAAATATCAGGAATAAGAAAAACTGTTAAAGCAAAAAAAAATAAAGAATGCAATATATTTAGAAATATCTTTTTATCGAAGAAAAAAAAAAAGCTAAATAAAAAATTTATATCTGATTATTATAATAAAATTAATATAAAACCTAACTCAACATATCATACTCATAAAGATGGAATCACGAATTATCATTCAGATAAAATATCTAATAATAAGGATGTTATTAGAAATAACATGAATATATATTACATAAATCCATCTGAAAACTATATAGATATGTATATAATTTCAAGTTTAAAAAAAGGTAATACATATAACCCTAAATTAATAAAATATTGTATTGATTTAATTTTTACTTGGAAAAAAAAAGGAAAGCCTTTAAGTGTCATTTACGCTTTTAAAAAAAAAAAGCTAGTAAATTATTTATTTAGCAAGGTTAAATGTTACAATATTTTTAATTATTATATGATTTTGAAAAAAAAGAGAGTATTTTCTACTAGAGATTATTTTTTAAATAAAAAATACAAAACATGCAAAAGGTGCAATATTATGAGAGATAGTTATATTATACATAATACTTATGATAAAAAAATAAAAAATCTTAAGAAATGTAATAAAAAATACGATAAAAATAAAGATCTTCTTATATATAAAAAACCAGATATAAACAATTTAATTTTATCTTTTCATAAGATAATAGACAAAGATTTATTATTTAATTATCATGTGAATTCATTAATTCACAACAAAAACAATTTTGAGAATACTAAGAAATGTTTTAAATCTATATGGAATAATATATTTGATAAAAAAAAATTATCAAAAGTTACTGAATTAAATAAAAATAATATTTCAGATTTAGTAAAAAATTATATTAATGAGCAATGTAAAATGAAGCACTTTGTTAATTATGAAAAAAATAAGTATACGCTAAAAAAAAAAAAATATATGTTTTCTCATTTTTTTCAAAGAATAAAAGAAAAAAAAATTAGTTCCAATTCTAAATATTTAAAAGTATTTGGGAAGAAATCAAAAAATGTAAAATATTTTTGTGTTAAATATATAAATAGTTTATATGTAAGAATGATTCTTAATCGTATTGAATTCTTAAAAAAAAAGGGTATTATAAAAAAACTCAATAATGAGGAGAAAATTAAAAAAGTGGATACAAAATTATATCTAAAAGAAAAAAATAATGTTGACTTCCTTATACCTTTATTCTGTACAAAAAAAATTTTAGAGGAAACTCGAAATTTACAGGATATTTGTTTAACTACAGACGATATGGACAACTTGATTTATTCAGAAAAAGACGTGAAAGGGTATGTAGATGAAAGTAGTATTAAAAATATTGAAAAAGAAAAATTAAAAAACGTAGTAAATATAGATTATCAAGATAATAATGAAAATAGCATAAAAATTCTAAATGAAATAAAAAAAAATGAAGAAATAAATAATAAACTTGTTAGTGAAGTATATAATATAATTAATGAATATGATATATATGATAATAACTTGGAAAATTACTCACTTAAATTAAAAACAGGAAAAAAGGTTTCCTTAATAATTAACAGTGAAGATAAAAAAGAAAATGATGGAAATAAAAAAATCAAAGAAGAAAAGTTAAATTATTTTGAAGAATTTAATCAAATAATTGATGAAAACATAAATTTTAATGAGTTAAATTGTGCAAGGGAGGAAAAAGTAGAAGAGAAAGCGAAAAATAGTAGAGGTCATGCTTTGTTAACATTAGTAGATAAAGTGAAAAAAATTGAAAATAAAAATAATTATCTTGTTTCAAAATTAAAAGACATAATAAAAATAACTAATAATAAAAATAAAATAATATATCAAATGTTATTAAATTTTAAAATATTACAAAATACAACTAGTCTTTTACTAAAATATATTATGATAAATGAAAAAAATATGAAAGATTTAAATACTCATAGAAAAAACATGGAAAATTTTCTTAAAATAATGAAAGAAAAATGTATATTACAAATTAGAGATAAAAGTAAAAATATGAATTCTTTAAAGTATATTTGTAAATATTTACAAGATTTTTTATATGATGATTTAGAGAAAAAATATTATTTTGGAAAAATTAGGGGTGGCTTTCCGTTTTGTAATAACTCAGAAAACATATTACTACGTAACGAAGATGCTTTTGATAAAAAAAATCCAGATTTTCTTTTAAGAGAAAAGAAAAGAAATTCATTAAATTTTTTATATTATGTAAATCATTGCCATAGAGATATTTTAAAAACTCCCCTTTCGTATTACAGTTCTCCTGTAGACAGTATTCAAGGTTTATATTTTAAAATGCATTATTTTTTTAAAAAGTTGCATTTTTTAAAATTATTATTATTAAGAATTAAATATTACAGAAATTTGTTTTTTAAATATATAAAAAATGAAAATAATTTTTATGTGTTTTTCATGTATATCTTTTTAATTATATTTATAATAAATAATTTTTTATGTTATATCTTTTATAAACATTTATCTAATAAGTTAAATACTTATATTAAAAATTGTAATTGCCACAATAAATAAAATAAAAAAAAATTTTAATTAGTATAATTCATATTATTTGTTATTATTTGTGTGTTTATTATTTAACATACATTATTTTTATATATTATTAATTTTTCTGTTTTTATTATTTGTTCTAATACTTTTGCATATTTATTTTTTGTATATTTTTTTAATATTTATAATTTTATTTCGAATATTCATTTTAAAAAAATAAATGTTTCTTAATATATCGTAAATTTTGTATTTTATTTTTTTAAATAACCTTGATAGAATCCCTTAAATATTTTTTTTATGAATTTTTAAATTAAAAAGAAAAACATATAGTTAAAAATGTATCTTATTGACTTATTTTTTAGAATCATTTATTAGAAAATGTTTTACATCCTTATAAGTTTTCATTGGATACAAATATAGTAATTCTCAATTATACTATATTTAATAAATGAAAATAAGAAAATATACTATTTTCATCTTTATACATACATATATGATGTATTCACTTATATATTTTTATTCATTGTTTCATCTCCTTTTTTCTCTAAATACATATATTTGTAATTAGTTGAATTCAAGTTATATAACATTTTTGAAAAAACTAAATAGATGTACTTTACTATTTTTAAAAAATTTTGTATATACTTCTTTTCATAATTTTTTTTTTTTTTTTTTGTTTTAATCATTTTAAAATTAAGTGTATCAAAAAATTATTTGCATATTAAAAATAATAAAAAAAAAAAAAAAAGGGATATATAATTATGTAATTCTAGTATTTTGATTAATTTATTATATGTATATTTTTTTTTTTTTATATTTCTAATGTTTAATTTGTTATTTTTAAATTTATTTTATTTTATTGGATAATTCATATGTAATGTAAAAATATACACAAATGTATGACATTTAAAAACAAGAAAATAATGTAAAAAAATATAGCTAAAAAAAAAAAAATTTTAAATAAAAAAATTTAAATGCTAATAAAAAAAAAAAAAAAATAGAATAAATGAATGAGAAAAAAAAAAAAAAATTTATTAAAAATGAAAAAAATATTATTAAAATTTATATATTATCCAATTTTTATAGTATTTTCATCAATAAATTCATATGGAGGTATTTCTAAATTAGATGGAGCAGGCCCTTGGCGAATTCTTCCTGAATTGTCATAATGAGATCCATGACATGGACAAAAATATCCATTGAAGTTTCCTCCTTCTACGGGTATGCATCCTAAATGTGTGCATACTCCTATATTTATTAACCATTCAGGTTTAATTGTTCTGTCTGAATCTAATTGAGGATCTTTCATTGTTTCAACTAATTTATCTTCTTCTTTTGCTCTTTCAATTTCATCTGGTGTTCTGTGTTTTACAAAAACTGGTTTTCCTCTCCATTTAATAATGACTTGTTGACCTGGGCTAACTGATTTAATATCTACTTCTGTTGTACCAGCTGCAACTAAATCTCTTGAAATCCACCAAAAATGTACCACTTTACATATAGTTGATCTCATAATTGAAGACATAATAAAAAAGTAGGATGCACTAATAAAATACATAAATGTTCTTCTATCTGCATGTCCTTTTCTTAATCTATATTCTCTGAAATCAGGATGATATTCTGAATTGATACTATCAGGATTTGGTGCATTTTCTGCATAACCTGCAGGTCTAAAATTACTTGGTTCAAATTTTCCCACTGAAACTACTGCTGGTTCATTCGGGTTATGCCATACATCTGTTCTTGTCACATTGGCACCACTAGCTAATTCACCTTTTTCTAAATCAGGTTTTCTTGGGAATAATGGTTCTGCCGTTTGATTATAATGTGCATATCTCGTTCTTACAAAAAAACCTTCATATTGATGTGGATGATTAGACGGCTCAACTAACTCTGATAAATCTTCAACCTTTTTATGACTAATATTTGCTTTTTCTTCTATTTCCCATAACTTTATATCTTCTGCATGATCAAACAAGTTTTTATAACTAGGGTTTTCAGATGCTGGTGGAATTTTTTCATTTTCTTTTATATTGTGATGAAATGTTCCACCAAATCTCTTACTTAATTTATATAATTGATTTTTTTTTAATAAACTGCATTGTTGAAAAATATTGATATTTTTTATCCTAATCATTTTATTTTTTCTTTTTTAACTTTATTTCTCATTTAAAGATTACTATTTCATTTCTATATATAAATATATATATATATATATATATATATATATATATATACAATTCATAAATGTTTTAAAATTACCTTTTCCCCTATTATTATTTATAAAAAATAAAAAATAATAAGTTAATAATATTTAAATTAGTGAAATACTATTATTTCTTTTATATTTTTCTCACATAAAAAAAAGAAAAATGAAATTTTAGAATTTAAATGTCTTAAAAATTTACCATAATAACACCTATGTAATTATTACACGCTTTAATTATTTTTATCTTTTAAAAAAATTGTACATCTCATATAAAAAAATAATGCGGATGAAAAATGTATTAATAAATATATATATATATATAAATATATATATGTATAATTTTTTTTTTTTTTTTTTTTTTAATTATAAATTAAATCTCATTGATATATTTAAGTAATATTCAGGAAATAAGAAACATAATATTTTAACAAATTGAAACGTTTATTAAAAAAATTCACAACATAAAAAAAAAAAAAAAAAAAAAAAGAATTT